AGTTTCCTTTCTGTTCTCTTGTGTTGTGATTTCTGTCTGTGCACACTGAGGTTCTAGCTTTATAGATCCTGTTTTACTCGCACTTGGGTGAGATGGTAGACTTTACTGTCCGGTGAAGTACTGCACTGCTCTATGAAAACATTATCCCCTGTGTTGCTGCCCGGGAGCTCAAGGTTTCTAGGGTTTGGCAAGAATTCTTACATTTCTCACTTAGCTGCTAGGGTTCTAGTTTCATTATTTTTTTTTTCCCTCTGTGAATTTGTACAAGTTAGAAGTTTACTTACTTACTTGAAAAGCAGAGAGACATGGGCAAATTGACAGAGCTTCCATTCTCTGGTTCACTCCCCAGACATCTGCAGTGGCTGCAACTGGGTTGGGGGCCGGGCTGGAGTTGGGAGTGCTGTCCGCCTCCCATGTGGGTGGCAGGAACCCAGTCACTGGAGCCATCACCACTGCCTCCTAGGGTCTGCATTAGCAGGAAGCTGGAGTCATGAATTGAACTCAGGTACTCAAGTGTGGGATGTGTCTTAACCGCTAGGCTAAACACCCACCCCAATTTCTACCATCATGACAATTAAGTCTTAAAAGTTCTCTGTTTTTAGTGTTTAGGCTAGGATCTTGGTTCGGTTGCAGAATCTGTTTGGGGAGTCTGAGTTTCATACTGTCAGAATCAGATCTGCAGTGTCACATGATTCACAGAGTTGTAAGTGCTGTGTGTGCATTCGGAAGTTCCTTCTACTTGTTCTTATTTATAAATGTCCTGCTGTTTACATTGCCCATGCTTTGTTTTCAAGTGCCGTACCATGTTTTGTGGTTGTACCATAGCTTACATGGTCATCTTTGTATTTGCTTGCTTGTTTTTCACTTTCATAATTTAAATAGTGTTGCTAGTAACTGTATTCATAAACTTTAAAGTCATGTTTGTTTTTCTTTCAATTAGGTCAAATTGACATAAAACAAGTGTTGGCAAAGAAAAGGCAGCTGACAGCCGAGGCAGAGGTAAGTAGCTCCCTCTTGCAGAAGCAGAAATGTGGTGTTTTAGATGAGAGTTTTGTGCAGTGCCGGTGTCAGTGTTAAGTTGTTTAGAGAATGATTCTTTCCCATCTGCTGATGTTTTCCTGCTGTGAGGCGGGAAAATCAGATTCACACCTTGGCACCCAGCAGAACCAGCAGATTGCGTCTTTCTGCGCCTCCGTCACTGTCACGTGCTGGTCCTTCCCAGCGATCTTGGTTTCAGTGAGCTGTGCTCATGGCTGATGTAGCAGGATGCCTCATGTGATTTGTGAGTGTCTGTCAGGGCTTATGGTGAACAGTAAGCTTCCACTGAGTGATGAATGTGAATCTGGAAGTAGATTCCCGTCAGGGATGTCGGAATAACTCAGAGCAATGCAGAACCATTTCAAGAGGGACTTAACAGTTCCGTAAAACAGAATTCGGCAGTACGTTCAGGAAATCCTGGAGGATAAAGAACTCTCCCTCTCCCTCTCTTCCTGTTCGTCTGACAGCAGTCATTTATTTATTTGAACGGTCAGAGTTACCCAGAGAAAAGGAGAGGCAGAGAAAGAGAGAGGGAGGGAGATAGAGAGGGCGAGGTCTTCATCCACTGGTTCACTCCCCAGATGGCCGTAACAGCCGGAGCTGCACCGATATGAAACCAGGAGCCAGGAGCTTCTTCTGGGTCTCCCACATGAGTGTAGGGGCCCAAGGACTTGGGCCGTCTTCTGCTTTCCCAGGCCATAGCAGAGAGCCGGATCAGAGCAGCCAGGACTTGAACCGGCACCCATATGGGATGGTGGCACTGCAGGCGGCGACTTTACCTGCTATGCCACAGCGCCGGCCCCAAAGAACTCTTTATAAAAAAAAAAAAGGATCTTGGGGCTTGTGTTGTGGCATAGCAGGTAAAGCCACAATGCCAGCATCCCATGTGGGCACTGGTTTGTACCCTAGATGCTGCATTTCCTATCCAGCTCCCTGCTAATGGCCTGGGAAAAGCAATGGGAGATGGCCAAGTGCTTGGACCCCTGCCACCCACATGGGAGACCCAGATGAAGCTCATAGCTTCGGACTGGCTCAGCCCTGGCTGTTGTGGCCACTTGGGGAATGAACCAGCATATGGAAGGTCTCTCTCTCTCTCTCTCTCCTTGCCTTTCTCTCTGACTTTCAAATAAATAATCTTTTTTTTTTTAATCAAATACTGTGTATGCCTGAGTGTGAGTTGACTTCAGCTCCAAGGCAGCCTCTGATTTTTTCCCAATGAGATTACTTCTGAAGTTTATTGGGCAGCTTGAATATATAAACACCCAATGATGCTTATGAAGTAGCTCTGTTGTGTTACATGTGTGTATACTTGCACAGTTGTGTTATATGGAGTAATTTAGATTTTAGATTTCTTTAATAATAATGGTTCATGAAATAATGTTTTTGTATCCACTTTGACATCAGTGTCCTTGTTATTATCAGAGCTGATTTTTCACTTATCTTCCAAGGCCTGGGCATATCATTCCTCTCTCTTCTTTTTTGCTGGAGATACAGCACTTTTTGAGTTCAAGGATGATTCGCCTACAAGCTTTACCACAAAAACCTGTTTCTTTAACATTAAGAGATTTTCCCACATCACCCTTGTAGGTATATTTGTGGTGTTTACAATGTAATCTCTTACTGTATTGCCTTACAAAGTGGGATTCAAAAGATGCATTTATATATTTTAAGTTGGGAGTCTGGACTCCTTGTTAACAGAGTGTTAAATTTTATATATTTTTTTTTTTCCTGAATCTGTGAGCTTGCTGCGTAAGCCTCCAAAACCAGAGATCAAGGTCATTTCTGGAGAATGCCTTCTCTGATTAGTGCCTTATTGCTGCATTAGAAGAGACTGTTTAAAGACTTGGAGATTAAGTCACTTGCACTTCTGATAACTTACACTTTTGGCTAAAATGTTTAGGCAAATTTAGTATTTTCAGGGGCCTGCTCGTGTAGATTTAGTGATTAAGTAGCAAATTTTTGTTCTTGTGGTTTACTGGAGTGTTTCTGACCCGCCCGCCCACCCACCCTTAAGACAGGCAGTGCACCCAGGGTTGGCTCCCCTTCCTTTCCTGATTGCTTTTCTATTTTTCTGGTTTTTTGTTTGTTTTTCCCTCTTCTCCCTTTCCCAGCAAGAACACAAGCCTTATTATGCTGTATTTGTGAGGGAAAATTTCAAATAGGTGAAAGGCCATTCTGTCTCCCATATCATTGCTTTGTATTTTTAAACCATAATGTTAAGGTCTGCACCTTCGTGGGCACTGACTCTGAGGGTCACTTGCCACTGTCCTGTGGGTAGGAGCCAAGGCACCTCTGGTTATGGGAAATTCAGTTATTAAAATCGACTCCAGAAGAAATAACCAGCAACAATGGAAGAGATTGGGAAAGTTTTCAAAGCTCAGAAACCAGGAGGCAATAGGATTTGAGCTAGGGCTTGAAGGCTGTGTGTAGTGCAGTATATTGGTTGGTAATGGTAGGAAGTTGAAGGAGATTTAAGGTAGAACTGCATGAGCAAGGCCATGAAAGAGGGGAAAATGCCTTCCAGTCCAGCTGCAGTTGTCCATCTCGGTTTACCTTGTGCCTGATAGGGGCGTGACACCCTACAGGTGCCGTTTCCAAGACACAGAGTACGTGTTCTTCCTCCACGCCTTAAGAGCAGGGAACAGGGCTCAGCTCTGCAGCTCTTGTGTCTCCTGTAGGGTCCCCAGAACAAGTGCAAGCCCTGCTGCCTGAACCAGGCCCCCGTCCTCCAGCTGCTTTGCTCTCCATTCATTTACTTCTCTGCATCCTCTAACTGACTGAACTACAGGCTTTAATGCTTTTATTTATCTTTATTGATTGATGTATACAGCAGATACGTAGATTTCTTCTTTAAAACTTTTTTTGACTTAGGTCTTTGAAGCCCTCCTCCTCCTCCTCCTCCTCCTCACTCATTGCTGCTCCTGCCCCTTCCCCCAGCATGCACACGTTCCTCCTCCTCTTTGGGTTTTGGATTCCGTGTGGTTCCTTCCACGTTTGCTTTTTCGCCCTGTGGAGACCTTTTCTGTTTCCGTTGATGCTTGAGGAAAACCGCTTCCTCCATAATTCACGGTGGCCTCGACTTCACCGACTTGTATTTGGGCCAGTTAGGAACAAGGCCAAACTGCATTTTTCCTCAGGCTTTTCAGTTGATAAATGGCACTTAACTGATGATTTTTTTTTACACAACCTTTAACAAGAACTCATAAATCGCATTGATTGTACTCCAAGAGATGAAAGGCCTTTGGTAATTCAGATGGGGAACTCTGAAAAGATTTCTGTTTCTTGTCTTGTTCTAGCCAGACTTTTATTTTGAAATCTTGTTAAAAGACTAACATTGCCCACCTACCCAAGATTTATGTGTGTTTTAATATTAACTGGATAAGGCCGGCACCGTGGCTCAATGGGCTAATCCTCCGCCCTGTGGCGCCGGCACACTGGGTTCTAGTCCCAGTCGGGGCACCGGATTCTGTCCCGGTGCCCTCTGCGGGCAGCTCTCTGCTGTGGCCAGGGAGTGCAGTGGAGGATGGCCCAAGTGCTTGGGCCCTGCACCCCATGGGAGACCAGGATAAGCACCTGGCTCCTGGCTTCGGATCAGCGCGGTGCGCCAGCCGCAGCGGCCATTGGAGGGTGAACCAACGGCAAAGGAAGACCTTTCTCTCTGTCTCTTTCTCTCACTGTCCACTCTGCCTGTCAAAAAAAAAAAAAAAATATATATATATATATATTAATTAGATAAAGAATCTCAACGTGGCACCCAGTAGACCTCTACAGATAAAAACATTGGCAAAATGAGCATTGAGTTTTTGTATTTGATCAGAACGAGGACACAGTCCTGAGTCCATCATGGAAGAGAATGGGCACCAAGTGACAGCAGCAGTGTCCCAATTCTGTGGCATCTCTGTGCCTTAATATCCTGTTCACAAACTTATTCTGGTGCTTGTGACCTTGAGGCAGTGTCTGAACTCCTTTGAATGGAGTGAGCATCGCTTCTGGTGTCCCTGCAAACTGGAGCACTGGCAGGCTTTCGGAGAGGGCGAGAGAAATCCTCACACAGAGCAACATCCGTGCCAGTAGTTCTCTGCTGCGTCAGTGGGGGAGTGACTCTGAGATGCAGATTTCCAGATTCTTCCGTCCTCAACTGAGGCACTGCATCCCGCGTTGCTGGAAGGATTCCCTGAACTGGAAGTGTGATTCCGTGTCCTTCCAGCTCCCTGCCTTACCAAATCAGGTTGTGATCTTCTCACTTTTCTAGTGGCTCCGGTCATTTCTTCTGAGTTCCAGCGGCAGAATTGAGGTGGGGGAAGAAGAGGGGCAAGGAACAACACCAGCTAGCTGCCTTCTAAGGACTTCTTTTCCTAGAGATTTTGACAAATCAGTTCTGCCTATATCTCTGATAACTAAGGTACAAAGAGAGACTGGGACATATGTTTATTGATTTTGGGTGGTGACGTACCCAGCTAAAAACCAGGAATTCTTGGACTAAGAAAGGAGGCATGATAGCATTGACTGCTAATAGTCTCTAGGGTGGGCATTTGGTGCAGAAGGTAAGAGAGTTAACAGATTGTACCACAGTTGTCCATTTTGTTTTGTTCCTTTTGAGCTTTTAGTCAAATCAACCTTCTTTTGGCTGTGCAAGTCTGAGTACACTTTTCTAATCATTCCCTTTCTACCTTTTTTCTCATTTTACTTAAATGCATAGATGTGTTCATCTCTGGTCTACTGCGGAGAATTCTTGGAAAGTCAGTTCATTGTTATTTACAATTTCATCATTTGTTTACAAAAGGTAGAAAAGTATTTGCCTTAATGCCATCTTAGGCACGTTCAACAGATCAGTTTCATGAATACCTATTGGTCCCTTGTCAGTCAAACAGCATGAAACTGGGACTCTAAAGAATTGGAGCATCGACATGCTTGTTAAGAGCCCTGTGTGTTCCGTAAAGTGAATAAGAAGAGGAATGGTGACTGAGTTAGGTGTCGTCAGATTGTTCTTTGAAAGTTGTAAAGTGATATCTGTGTAAGTTGTATTCATAAGGATTTACATAATTTTAGACCTATTAATTGCAGACATTAAAGGTGATAGTTACTCTATTTTAACTATAAAATCCGATTTTAACAAAAACCCCAAACTTCCTAACTAGGCAGATGTTAATCATCTATATGTCATTGGTTGAGGAGCACTTTAAAATATTTATTTAACATTTCTGACATCAGTGTGTATATTGTACATTATGATAAAGCACTGAACCAAGCAGTGTAGTTCACTAGGCATCTTTTTCGTTTCTTAGTGCCTCTTCCTTTTTGTGGCATCTTAAATTAAGTTTACACATTGTGTACACAGTGCACTCGAGATTTGTTAAGATTTTAATGTTGTGCTGCCACGTAAAATTATTGCAAGAACAGGAAGAATACATTATCTTTTGTGAGGCGTTTTTTTTTTTCCCTGATTATAGTAATGGTACTCATTGCAAATTGATAACAGAAAAAGCATAAATAGGAAACAGTCCTATGCCTACCACCAGAAAATAACATTTGATTTATTTTTTCCATACCATTTGTTTCCTTTTTTCTGTCAGTACACAGTTCCATGTGGACATATACAGGCACATGCATGCATTGGTATGTCAGCAAGAATCAGCATCAGTTTATGTGTTCAGTTTGTGTATTTTTCTTAACATTATTTTGTGTTTGTGTGTTATGTTTTCTTTGAAAGTGTGTCTTTAAAAATTATTTCACAATATCTGTTTGTATGATTATATTATTTGTTAACTACTAAGAGTGTATTTTTACTCCTTTCTGGCTTTCTAGCATTTAACAATGACCGATAAAGAAGTGAAGGAGGTAGGGAAGATGATAATCAATCATAGGATGTACCATTTGGAAGATAAGGATGAGGGAAATGAATGTATTTCGGCTCAGTTTAGGCTGATGAAAAATATGTTACCTTATCAAGAATATTGTAATCTAAATTGGGCAGCAGCACAGTGTTAAATTTATTTTAAATAAAAAGGGATTATAATTTAGGGATGTACTGTTATTGTTGGCTTCTCCTAAATCTTTAGTTTTTTATATAAAGGGTTATATAATAGTTGTGCTGAAGATTTTTTTTTCCAAGCAGCAGTTTGCTGTTGTTGTTTTAATATGGAGGTGGAATTTGTTATAATGCACTCTTTAGGTCTATAAACCTCTGCTGCGTTGATATGTTCAATGGAATGGTTGTAATAGACCTGTGCTAATAAACAAGATCTTTTTATTAGATGACCTGCCACTTCAGGCTACATATATATCATTGCCATGTTTCTTTTTCTAGCTTTTATTTTATTTTTTTTTTTTTTGGCTTATGCTGTTTATCATGTAGAAACATTTCAATTTACAGTGTACACTGGGAAGCAGTATACTGTAATGTGAACTCTGGGGTCACGTACACCTGGGCTCTGATCCCATTTCCACAGCTGATAAGTTCTGTGACCTTGGGTGCATCACTTGACTTGTGTAAGCCAAGGTCTCTCATTTAAAAAAGGAATTACAATCCTACTCCAGATATAGTGGTTTCTAAAAAGATTTACTTATTTATTTGAAAGTCAGCACTACAGCAAAAGAAGGAGAAGGAGAGACATGGAGAGAGGGAGATGGAGAGAGAGAGGCAGGGAGGGGGAGAAAGAGAGGGAGAGAAGGGGGGAGAGAGGGACAGAGGGAGATGGAGAGGGGGGGGAGAGAGAGAAAGAGAGAGAGAGAGAGAGAGAGAGAGAGATTTCCATTCACTGGTTTACTCCCCAATGGCAGCAATGTCCAGTATGGGCCAGGCCGAAGCCAGGAGCAGGAGCTTCTTCCAGGTCTCCCACATGGGTGCAGGGGCCCAAGGACTTGGGCCATCCTCTGTTGCTTTCCCAGGCACATTAGCGGGGAGCCGGATTGGAAGTGGAACATCCAGGACTCGAACCAGGTCTTGCATGGGATACCGGCATCATAGGTGGCGGCTTTACCCACTATGCCACAACACTGGCCCTAAAGATGGTTTTAAGACTAGAAATAGTATATAATAGTCCCTAAGAATGTCAAGTATATGGCAGTTATTCAGTAAATAACACCTGATACAATAATAACAATAGTGATTTTCAGCCTCTTTCCAATAATAACCTCTGGAAAGAAATCAAGACTAGGTAGTGTTTTGTTTTGTTTTGTTTTGTTTTGTTTTTTTGACAGTCAGAGTTAGACAGAGAGAAAGGTCTTCATTCCGTTGGTTCACCCCCCAAATGGCCGCTACGGCCGGAGCACTGTGCCAATCCAAAGCCAAAAGCTAGGTTCTTCTTCCTGGTCTCCCATGCGGGTGCAGGGCCCAAGCACGTGGGCCATCCTCCACTGCCTTCCTGGGCCACAGCAGAGAGCTGGACTGGAAGAGGAGCAACCGGGACAGAATCCGGTGCCCTGACTGGGACTAGAACCCCGGGGTGCCAGTGCCACAGGCGAATGATTAGCCTAGTGAGCCGCGGCACTGGCCAAGACTAGGTAGTTTTAAAAATAACAGCTTTCTATGTACTTTGTGATAGACTCTGAACTAAAACAGCAGTAGTGTGAATGTTCGTGCCAGGTTCCTTTCAAAAGCTGTGTGGAAATTACAAAGTACCTTGGTACCTGCTTTGCTAAGTGTTGGCTGTACCGTTAACTAAAAGACACGGTGTTTAAAGTCAGCTGGGGAGGCAGACACGAAGATGCCAAGAAGTAGAAATGCTATGCTTTAGGAGAGAATGAGAAGTTCAGAGGGGGTTGTCAGGGCCACCTCCCTGGTAAGTCACTTTAGTGTGACACCTGGAATGCCTGCCAGGTATTCCATTGTGGTGTTGTGCCCAGAAAGGTCACGTTTCTGGTTTCATGCCGGAGTGAGGCTGAAGGGTTCCCTGTGCAAAGGCAGCAGCGAGTCGGGGAAACTAGTGATTCCTAGACTGGCAGTCTGACCCTGAGGAGTCAGAATATCATTTTGTTTAAAGCCAATAAAGAAGAAAAAAAGAACAAATTCTGATCAAGTAAACTAAATGTTTGAGAAACTGAAAATAGTATTTCATGAGGGGTCGTCAAAAAGTTCGTGGAAACTGCATATTATGAGAATATTGTCCAAGAATTTTGAAAGTTTTTTGCACCAAAGTGAATTTATCCATTTTTTAAAAAGTTTTTAAGATTTATTTTATTTGAGAAGCCTATTCCTTGGAGCCAGGGACTCAGTCCAGGTCTCCCAAGTGAGTGGCAGGGACCTCTCTACTTGGCCTGGCATCCATTCGCAGGAAGCTGGGATCGGGACTGAGCCGAGACTAACTGAGGCACGCTGAGATGGGAACTCGGTGGCCCAAGCAGCTTCTGGACTGCTTTGCCTGCGATTCCTGCTCTTAAATTCTCGGTCTCCTTTCTCTGTTGTCCTTTCTCTGTCTCCTTTCTCTGTGGCATTTGCTAGACCATTAGTGATGCATGTAATGTCTCTCTCGTGGATAGGCAGTGAGTCGCTTAAGAGCAGCCCTGTGTGTGTGTGTGTGTGTGTGTGTCTTGTTCCCCACCTCTGGTGCTGAATAATAGTAGTTAGTACTGCTTGTTATCCGAGTGTGTTTGGTCTCTCAGTTCAGCTAGCAGGCTGGGATAACAAGGAGTACCCTTCCTTGTGGACTGACGGGGAAGGACGGAAAGGTAGGAGTTCAGCCGCGTGGGGAGAAAAGGAAAGGAATAGGCGGGGCAAAAGAAGAGGGTGCACTTCCTAAGGAGGTGAAGGTTAGGAGATAGCTGTGAGAGTCCTTCACAAGTCTGGCAGTTGGAAGTTGAGTGTGCAGCAAAGGCCCATCTGTGAGTGAGCGCCTGGGAGCTGTGCCGGAGGAAGTCAACTACTCTCTTCAATTAAAGTTGGTGGATTAGGACTTGATTTTAGTAGCTTTTACTGACATTTGTATAACATTTGTTACTTTTTTAAAAGCTTCTAAGGTCTACTTAAACTGATGCTGCCTGGGACTGGTGCCAGAGTAAGAGGAATTCTAGCTTTACAAAAGCTGGCTTGGGTCCCTTTGCCACGTCTCAAGATTCCAGGTTTCTGCTTTCAGATTGAGTAGAATTTTCGTGGACTGAGATACGAGCGCAGTGAAGTGCTGGGATGTGACGTGGTTAAACTCTCTGAAACCCTCCATCCTGGCTGTTTCCCAGATTTGCCGAGGGCGTGCCTGCCCCAGGAACGTTTTACACTTAGGCTTCCTTCTTCCTAGAGTCCACCTTCAGATCTCAGATGTCATCTGCTCTCTCACTGTCACATCTCAAGTGTCATTTTATCATTGAGGTTTTCCCTGACCTCCTTATGGAAAATGTCTGCCCCCACGGTCATGCCGTATTCCTTTCCATGACACCTGCTGGCGTCCTACATGTCCTGTATACATTCCACGAGGATTGGGGGTTGGTTTGGGGCATTGTTGTATATCCTGTGCCTAGGAGTATGCCCAGAGCTGTGCATGCCCTTATAGCAGAATGAACAAATTCCTTCCCTTCTTCACTTTCAGTATATTTCTATGTGGGAAAATGTTTTTATAGCTGAAGGAAAAAACCCTGTACTAGTAAGTTGAATTCTAGAGAGTAAAAGCAAAGAGAACCTGTTTTCTTCATGTTGGTTTTGTTTCTTTTTGGCTGGAGCACTTCTGTTGAAAACATTTCAAAATGAAAATGATCATATAATTGAAATAGATCGAAGGAACAAAAATGGAATACTATTGGATAAGCTCATTGTGAAAAAAAAAAAATAAGTCTGTAGAAAAGTTTGTTCTTTTTTCCAGGGAATATAGGTTCTCAATAGTTTGTCCCTAAATCTTACCTCTCTGCATTTTTCTGTTGTAGCTAAAACTCTTCATACTTTCCTGTATGTTTGCTTTTTTTCCATAATCTTTCCCCTTTCCTTCTGCCATTTTTCACTTCATCCAGGTCCTAAGATCGTCAAGGTTTCTGCTCAAAAAAGGTATTTCCATTCAACTCCTCCCTGCTCTGTTTCCTAACTGCTTGCATGCTTGTTAAGTCTTTGTTGATATGCCAGCTCGGGTGACACATGTATGGTCTACCGTGTGCTATCTATACGTGGATGTCTTGTGTTCTCCAGCCCTGCCAGCTGTCCTGTGAGAGTAGGCGCCTGGCATATTCTCACTGCCAGGACTCGTGACTTGTGAACTGTAGGAGCCAGCAGCATGAGAAGCCCTCCTGTAATTGCATGACATACAGCGATGTGTTTAGGCTTTCCTTTGGAGGACTTGGGCACACTCCTGTGGTATAACAGTCCAGACAAATGCTGCTTCAGATCTCGTAAGTGCAACTTGGATGAATAATTTAGTCAGAGGAAAAAAGCATCTTTTCCCTTGAAGAATTGGTAATTAACAGTTTTTCTGTATGTAGGTAAATTCTGCCAATTAAAAAATACCTAAATTTGCAAAAATGAGCATCTATAGTTGAAGAAATATTTTTGCTCATACTTTTTTCAAAAATTGTGACAGTTTTAAGATGTGAACTGCTATATTCCTAAAGCTGTACCTATGAAATTTGTATTCATTAAATAAAAGTATCACAGTTAAACATATGCATACTCATATTTTCATAAGATAAGTATATTTACACACATAAGTACTGCAGTTTTATGAAATTTTATGGAACACATATGTTTTATCATTTGACAAATACATAGTTATGAAGGTAGTAATCAACATTTTATTTATTTTTTATTGTCTGTGTCTCTGCCTCGCAAAAAGTTTTATTCATTTTTTTCTAAATTTTGAAAGATACTTTTTTTTAGCTAATTTGTATGTTGTTTTTTTTTTTTAAATTTTATTTCAATTATACATGTTTCATGTATTTCATATACACAGATCTGGAACATAGTGGCATTTCGTCACCTACGCTCCTTCCCATACTCCAACCCCTTTTTCCCCCTCCCTCTTGCTTTCTCACTCTTAATTTTTACAAAGATCTGTTGTCAGTATATTTAATGATCATATAGCTAACCCTACTCTAAGTAAAAGAGTTCAGCAGATAGTGTGAAGAGAAAAAAATAAAAAAGGGCTATAAACAGTCATCAAATCTCAAAATGTCTTTCTCTCCAATACATTACATTTCAAGTACTCTATTAGTTACCTTGGATCAGGGAAAACATATGCTAACTGTCTTTTTGGGACTGACTTATTTCACTAAGTATAATGGTTTCCAGTTGCGTCCATCGTGTTGCAAAAGACAAGATTTCATTTATTTTTACAGCTGAATAGTACTTCATAGTGTATTTATACCCTAATTTCTTTATCCAGTGAACATTTGATAAACTTCTGGATTGATTCCATATCTTAGCAATTGTGCATTGTGGTGCAGTGAACATGGGGGTACAGATAACTCTTTCATGTGCTGATTTCTTTTGGTTTGGGTAAATTCCCAGGAGTGGGATGACTGACTCATATGGAGGTCTGTATTCAGATCTCTGAGGTCTCTCCACACTGTCTTCCACAGTGATTGGGCCAGTTTACATTCCAACCAACAGTGGACCAGAGTACCTTTTCCCCTATGTCCTCTCCAACATCTGTTGTTTGTTGATTTTCGTATGTGAGCCATTCTAACTGGAGTGAAGTGAAGCCTCTTTGTGGTTTGGATTTGCATTTCCCTGATGGCTAGTGATGCTAGCATTTTCTCAGGTGTCTGTTGGCCATTTGAATTTCCTCTTTTGAAAAGTGTTTTTTCAAGTCCTTTGCCCAATTATTAACTAGATTGTTTGTTTTGTTGTTGAATTTCTTGAGCTCTTTGTAAAGAAGTCAACATTTGATATAAATAAATGACATGCTCTAAAATATAAATAGTGGGTAATTAGAGCAAAGGAATTGCCTAAAAAAAGGGGGACTTAAAATTTAATGGGGATATAATGCTGACTTTTTGGGTGTGTTTCTAAATAAAAATGAAGAGAGGAATAGTCTCATTTTGAACGTTGTGTGATTTTGATTTTTTATGTCAGGGAGTTCACTTAGTCGGTGATTACTTTGGTGTTTTTAATTTGTGCTTAGAAAAGATACATATTTTTAATAGGGTATAACATCCATGTATTGATTTTTCAATAACCATTTCTGAAACTACAATCAGCTATAGATGTATTTTTGCCTTTACCCTTGAATATTTACTCTATATGCTTTCTTTTGAACCAGCTCTGTTTGAGAGTGCTTTAGAAAAATGTTAATAACCCACATGCATGTGTTCTTTGTTTTCCTTTACTTGTTTTAAAATTATAGGAATTAAAGCCACTTTTTTTGAAGGAAGTTGGCAGTCACTTTGATGATTTTGTGACCAATCTGATTGAAAAATCGGCATCATTAGACAATGGTGGATGTGCTCTCACAACTTTTTCCATTCTTAAAGAAATGAAAAACAATCACAGAGCTAAGTAAGTATAGACATGATTTTCTTTTAACACAGGTATCTACTCTAGGTCACTGGTCAGAACATGGACTGCAGTAGAAGTGCCTGAGTCCCAGCCTGGCACTTCTTGTAGGCTGTGAGTGCTATTGGGAAGGTTCTTTAACCACGTGAGAGCTGGGTTATTTCCTCCTAGTGTGTGGATTCAGTTTTCCATTTTTCACTTTCCTCAGTTTCATGCCTCTGCAGTCTCTATCCATCTCTCCTGTCCTGGAGAATAGCTTTGACCAGTCATACTTGACAGACGTGCTGGTGGTGCTACAGAAAGCCCTAAAGAAGATGTTTATGCTAGGTATCAAAATGCAAGTGATTTGTAACTAGAGCAAAACGTTAAGATCAGGAAGCCAGGGGCAGGTGCTGTGGCTCAGCAGGTTAAGCTGCCACTCGGGACACCGGCATCGCTTATCAGAGTGTCTGGTTTGAGGCCTAGCTCCTCTACACTTCTGATCCAGCTCCCTCTTAGTGGGCCTGGGAGGGAATGGATGATGGCCCAAGTACTTGGGTCCCTGCCACCCATGTGGGCACCTGGATGCAGTTCCTGGCTCCTAGCTTTGGCCTGGCCCAGCCCTGACTGTTTTGGCTATTTGGGAGGAGAACCAGTGGATGGAAGATATCTCGGGGTTGCTTTCTCTCTCTGTCTCTGTGTTGCTCCCATTTTGTCAGTCTGTCTTATGAATAATAGATAGATAGATAGATAAATGTTAAAAATAAAAATTAGGGGCTGTTGGGAGTTGCTGGAAGTCTGTTGACATCATAATCTCAGTGGAAGTTTGGAGGGGAAGCCAGTCATCTGGATGGCTTGGAGCACCATATGGCTGGAGTCTTGGCCATGACCTAGGGACTCTAGGAGAAGGAAATGTGGTTGCCAGTGTGGAATGCAGTGCCTCTCCGCAGGGGCTGGGTGTGGGGACCGAGTGTATGCTGTTCCGGTTGGTTGTGTCTAACACCTCTGCCGACCTAAATAGCTGTGTGTGTGTTGTTCAGGAGGAGTAAATGCAATAACATGCATAAAACCCCAGCACAGGACCTGGATCACAGTGAGAAGGCGGTTCCTTAGTGTTAACTGTGGTCGTGGGTCGTGTGTTTCTTGTCTGCGGGATCACATTTCTTACACTACTGGAAGCACTTCATTTTGATTTTTTTTGTTCCTTCCAGAGACCTGAGAGCACCTCCAGAGCAGGGAAAGATTTTCGTTGCAAGGCGATCTCTCTTGGAGTGAGTATTTTTAGTTGATTTTGTTAACATTTATTTTGAATTTTAGGAAAAAAAAAAAAAAACACCTAGCCTGATTGATAAAGAGTCACTGCTTAGTCTAAGACTGTGTGATGAGTGTCTTCCCTGTTGATAGAAATCATTAGTTTTGGCATCTCTTTTAATGCATTTGTCGTGTCGTGCCCTTTCCTTCTGATCTTCTGGTTCTGCATCTAGCGTTAAAGAGGAGCTGGGGATAAAAATGGTGTTGCTTCAGAGAACTGGTTACCCAAAGGGCTAGAGCTGAAGTTTTCTGACTTGGTAAGCCAGCTCATGATTTGGAGATGCTGCCTTCTTTTAATACATGAGATTATGTTTTCATCTCATTTTCAAGTTACTCATTTAAAAACTGATTGCAGGGCCGACACTGTGGTATAGTGGGTAAAGCTGCCCCCTGCGGTGCGGGCATCCTATGTGGGAGCTGATTCGAGTCCCAGCTGCTCCACTTCTGATCCAGCTTTTTCCTACAGCCTAGGAAAGCAGTGGAAGATGGCCCAAGTGCTTGGGCCCCTGCATTTGCATGGGAGACCCAGAAGAAGCTCCTGGCTCCTGGCTTCAGATCAGCTCAGCTCTGGCCATTGTGGTCATTTGGGGAGTGAACCAGCAGATGGAAGGCCTCTCTCTCTTCTTTGTCTCTCACTCTGCCTCTGCCTCTCTGTAACTCTGACTTAAAATTAAATAAATAAATCTTTAAACAAAAAACTGATTACTTAGTATTTTAAAAATAAAATTATTCAAGGTAAATTAATTGTGACTTTATTTGCAAACTGAAAATTAAAGGTTCATTTTGGATATGTGATTAATATTTCTTCTTTAGTGATCTTTGAGTAGATTGATTATTCATTTGGTCAATTATTTATTCATTAGAATACAGCTGAAATTTAACCTGCATTGTTGCATTTCATCTGAATAGTTGGTATGGTGAAAAATGCATCTTTTTATTATTATTATTATTATTATTATTATTATTATTATTTTTGACAGGCAGAGTGGACAGTGAGAGAGAGAGACAGAGAGAAAGGTCTTCCTTTGCCGTTGGTTCACCCTCCAAGGGCCGCCGCGGCCGGCACACGGCGCTGATCTGAAGCCAGGAGCCAGGTGCTTCCTCCTGGTTTCCCATGGGGTGCAGGGCCCAAGCACTTGGGCCATCCTCCACTGCACTCCCGGGCCACAGCAGAGAGCTGGCCTGGAAGAGGGGCAACCGGGACAGAATCCGGTGCCCCGACCGGGACTAGAACCCGGTGTGCCGGCGCCGCAGGCAGAGGATTAGCCTAGTGAGCCGCGGCGCCGGCCTAAAAATGCATCTTATACTTACCAACATTTACCTTCCATGAGCCAAGTTGATTTGCACTGTTTAGCCTCTATGAGGTTATAAATATGTATAAAATCCCTTTTTAGTTTTGGTATAATTTTTTTGAAGAGAAAATACAGGGGAAAATGCAGGCTTTTCACATAAAAGGAAAAATAAAATAATTACATTTTAATGACGATTTTAATGATAGAATGGTATTTATGAAAAAGAAACAAAATTAAAATACAGTTTAATTTTAAAAAATTTAACCAAGGAAATGGAACACATTTTTTATGACTCAAATGGGTTTTTATTAGAATTTGAAGAGCCTTATTCTAGGGATTTCATAGTATTTGAGATTTCTCAGAAAAGTCTTTTAGAAAGTTAACATAACTCTTGCCAAAAACAAGGTTAAAATACTTGTTTTAGATAGATACAAAAGGTATTGGGAAGTAATTTAGGAAAGAGATTGCTACATTTTAAAAGAAAAGCAGATCACTGTTAAAATCAATGAGGAGAAAGTAAAAGCACTTATCAATAACTTAGGTTTTATAGACGTATAGGATGATAGTTATCATTAGTATAGAAGTACGTACTGTACTAGTGAAGTGTAGGGAGTAGACTGTAAGAACAGGATTTTTAAAAAGTTTTATTGTTTTGAAAGGCAGAGAGACAGAGACAGATCTTCCATCCATTTACTGGTTCACTTCTCAAATGCCTACAACAGCTGAGGCTGGGCTAGGCTGAAGTCATGATCTGGGTCTCCCCTATGGGCACAGGGTCCCAAGTAGTTGGGCCATCCTCTGATGCTTTCCCAGGCCCTTTTGCAGGGAGTTGGATTGGAATTGGAGCAGCTGGGACTTGAACTGGCCTCATGGGATGCTGGTACTGCAGGCCAGGGTTTGAAGCCATTGTGTGTGCCGGCCCCTTGATCTTAATATTTAATATGCTTGTACTTCATGTTTAAAATTGTGTATTTACTGTTACTTTTAGAGATTTTTTTTCCAGTGGTGTATTAAGGATCTTCTAAATTACTCTAAAGAAAAGTCTGCATAATGTTTTAAAATTCGAGTATGGATTACCAATTTGGTTTTTTTGAACTACAATTACAGTGAGCTGTTTGAAGTGGACCACATCAGGACAATATATCACATGTTCATCGCCCTCCTCATTCTCTTTATCCTCAGCACTCTTGTGGTAGATTACATCGATGAAGGAAGGTAAGACAGTGCCAAGAATGACTGGCTGCTTTGTAGGGGCACTTGAGAGTGTTCACTGAATTTTGGTCAAGAATAGTTCGGCCAGATTTGCTCAGAATATCCCAGAGGTGCTGATTTGAGCGTAATTTTCTTTTCTAAAAAGTTTAGAGATAATTAGGAGTTTCAGTACTTTCATTTTTGAAATAGTCCATTTAATATAATCATTATTTTCTAGGTGTTTTTTCCAAATGGTAACATTGGAACTTTAGGTTGAAAAAAAGTGATGTTTCTTTTTGATGTAAAAATCAAATTGTAACTTAAAAAGTGACAATTTGGTAATCATGACTGAATTATGTATTTCTTGGGAAAATTAAAACTTGAGATAATGGTATAATAGTTAAAATTTCCAAATTTTAACTTTCTTTCTGAAAAGTCATCTATTGAATGTCAAAGTGATTGATACTTGAATATTTCATTTTGTAATAGTTGACTTTAGTGTTTTAAAAGATTAGTGTGAGAATCTTATCTTTCTGAAGTTCATTACTTTATTATCTTAGGTATCTTCAGTTCAGGGACCATAGTATCTTAGAGCTTTTAGGAAATTTGTTGTTGAGCTGTATTGTCAAACAGGGTTAGAAGCAGATCTCTATCTAGCAAAACTATTAGATCTGTGGTTTAAATGTACTTATGTTCCAGTGTTTCCTAAAGTTCAAAGTCTGGGGCTTGGAAGTTTGCATTCTGTGAATTTGGTGTGTGTTACAAACTCCGTTTTCTGTGCTTCCTCTCCCCAGGCTGGTGCTTGAGTTCAATCTCCTGTCTTACGCTTTTGGCAAATTTCCTACTGTTGTTTGGACCTGGTGGACCATGTTCCTGTCTACACTTTCAATTCCCTATTTCCTGTTTCAACATTGGGCCAATGGCTACAGCAAGAGTTCTCATCCACTGATGTATTCTCTCTTCCATGGCTTACTTTTTATGGTCTTCCAGCTTGGAATTCTAGGTTTTGGGCCAACGTATATTGTATTAGCATATACACTGCCACCAGCTTCCCGTTTCATTGTTATACTCGAGCAGGTAAGGTTGTGCATACTATCCAATGGACTGCTATGCTTTGTTAAAATAGTGATGATGATGGTCATGTAATACTGTTGCTGTTAGCTGTATGAATTTGGATAAATTTTTGTATTTTTTTTTTGTGCATGTGCCACTATTTCCTGTAGAATTAAAATGTTAAACAGGATTATCTCAGCTTTTAAGATTCATTTAGCTTCAGTGTTCTCTGAGTCAGGATGATTGAAATAAATTAAATTGAGCTATACTGGACAGATTGTTTTTTTCCAGAATACTTTTTGTTGAAGTCATCTAGATTGTAAAATATTTTTCTAACTAAAGACTTTACTTTTTAAGTGTCAGATTCATTGTTTTGTCATATCTATTCCTATTTAAATGAAGGACTTATTTTAATTAATTTCTATACCTTTCAGAATTTTTCTTTTAACTTTTATTTATCTATTTGTTTATTTGAAAGGTAGGGCGAGAGTGAGATATGTTCTATCTGCTGGTTCATTCCCCAAATGGCCACAGTGGCTGGGCTGGGCCGGGCCAGGTGAAAAACAAGATCCCAGAACTCTATCTGGGCCTCCCGTGTGGGTGGCAGGGGCCCAAGCACTTGGGCCGTCTTTACAGGCATGTTATCAGGGAGTTGAATCGGAAGTGTAGCAGCTGAGACTTGAACTGGCACTCCAGTATCTAATGCCTGTGCTGCAAGGGGTGGCGTAGCCCGCTGCACTGCAATGCGGGCCTCCAGGGTTTTCTGACGTAACGGAAAGGACCATTTCAAGAGGTTTTCTTTGAACAGATTTTTAATTTCTTAATGTTAATAAATAGGTAATGCTATTCAATAGAAAAAAAAACAAATAATTATATGTCCTTTGGGTTTTTTTCCTCTTTATTTTCTTTATAGCATAAAAGTGAACTTGGGTTAGTTTATGCAAAATTAAGAAGCTTTTTTGTGTGATTATAATCTTGTGCTGTTCAGGGGCTACTTATGGGGAGATTGGATACAAATGTTGGAAAATTCATCTTCCCCCCCTTTTTTTTGTAGATTCGTTTGATAATGAAGGCCCATTCATTTGTCAGAGAGAACGTGCCTCGGGTACTAAATTCAGCTAAGGAGAAATCAAGTATGTAATTTATTAGGCTAAAGGATTGTTAACAGGATATTCCAGCTTGTGGCGTTGATGGGGATGTTACATGACGTCCTGTAGAAAATGTATTTGATTTTAAATACATAGGCTCCACATGGATTTGGAAGACTATTCACTCTTTCCTGATTATCCTGTTTTGTCTTACTACACTTGATCTTAGCCAAAAGGTCGAGAAGCTATTCCTGTTTTGTCATTAATCATTAGACTCTTGCAACTTTGCCTTATGTTCCTGGAATGTTAATAGTCTCTTGACACCTGTGCCTGCTTACTCTTTGCAAGCTGTTGCTTCTTACCGTAGAAGTATCTCAGTCGTGGGAATAATTTAGTTTGGAGAGATGGGTAATACTCAGTTCCGAGAGTAAGAAGTCGTCCAAGGAGATGAGGAGGAAACACTTTATTCTTCCCTGTTCTGGGCTTCCTTTCCCCACTTTTGGTTTTGCTGAGAGGTATCACAGAGCCTCTGATCGAATGATTTTCCTTTTCTAGGCACTGTTCCAATACCCACAGTCAACCAGTACTTGTACTTCTTGTTTGCTCCTACCCTGATCTACCGGGACAGCTATCCCAGGTAAGGGCATGGTGAAGTGGGCGTGTGGTGAGCGCTGGAGGGATGCGAGGGAGGGGGGTAGGTAGGTGGGCTCAGTTCAGGATGCAGAATGGGCTCTGATTTTCTCTCTGGCCTGGGAAGCCTCAGATGGCAATTCCAGCAGTCCAGTTTGATTATCATAATTCTTGACACAATTATGTGGCCATAAATGATGCTCTCTGTGGAAGAATATTAATTGGGAGGGTCTGTAAGTTCAGTTGTTGACTTTATTTAGAAAACTTGTTTTGGTTCTTCCTTTTTTAGGACTCCCACTGTAAGATGGGGTTATGTTGCTATGCAGTTTGCACAGGTAAATTTTTTTTAAAAGATTTATTTTATTGATTTGAAAGGCAGAGTTACAGAGAGAGAGGGGTCTTCCATCTGCTGGTTCACTCCCGACATGGCCATAGTGGCTGGGGCTGGGCCAAGCTGAAGCCAGGAGCCAGGAGCTTCATCCTGGTTTCCCACATGGCTACAGGGACCGAAGCACTTGGGCCATCCTCTGCTGCTTTCCCAGGCACATTAGCAGGGAGCTGGATTGGAAGTGGAGCAGCCAGGACTTGAACCGGTGCCCATATGGGATGCTGGCGTTGCAGGTAGTGGCTTAATCTGCTGCATCACAATGCTAGCCCTCCAAGTGGTGACTTAATCACACAGACCAGCCACACCTCTAGCAATTCTACATACTTCTTTATGTGTCAACATTAATGAAAGGCTTCCATATGATCTGTTAGAGAGGGGAAAAAAAAACACTCTCCCTCTTTCCTTATGAAGCCATCACTATCATATATTTTGTTTTGTTCCAGGTCTTTGGCTGCCTTTTTTATGTGTACTATATCTTTGAGCGGCTCTGTGCCCCGTTGTTTCGGAATATCAAACAGGAGCCCTTCAGCGCTCGTGTCCTCGTCCTGTGTATATTTAACTCCATCTTGCCAGGTAACATGGGTACTTTGGTCATTCATAAATGCACAAGGAAACGGGAAGCTAACGCCTGTGGTTGTCCTTCTCTCTCTACTCATCTACACACCTGCACCCATCTCAATCTCTCCCATCCATCTCAGAAGTGAAGCACCCTTCTTCCAGTCTCAGGCCAGTCTTTCCATTCATCTTTTTTCAGTTGAATTTTGTTTTCCCTGAGGGTGAACATTTTATATTTATGCTTTATCTTTCTGTTCACTATTCAGTTCGCTGTCAGTTTACTTGGACTCTGGCTAGGCCACTGAAGTGGCCTTTGTTAAAAACACTGGTAACCTCCTGATGGGCGTCTGTGTAGCACTGCGTGTGGCTGACATTTGAAGTCGCTCTTGCCACCACTTCCTGTTCTCCTGTCTTTCAGTCTCTTAGCTTCTCTTGTTCTGTGAGTACCTACTACGTGCCAGGTGCTGAGGACCCAGCAGGGAATAAGACATAGGTAACCTTTACCCCTGGGAACTCGCATTTCAGCTATAACTTCCATTCCTTAGTCTTCCACGACACTCATTAAGCGTTGGTAGGGTTTTCTGTCATCTCCTTCTCTCGTCCTTTCCCTCTTTTGCGGACTTCTGATAGTCTGCCCTTAGTAGGATATGTGTTAAATACCTGGGTATATTCCTCAATGAGCCACAAGTTCCTTGAGATCAAGGGTTGTGTCACGCTGGTCATAGTCCAGCTCATATTGTCTGGAACATAATAGATGTCCTATAAATACTTGTTGGATGAGTAAATGAAAATGATGGATGTGTAAGTGGGTATTTTACAACATAATGTAATGCACACTAAATAAGCAGGGTGAACATGGTTCATTTATTGTTAGAGATGATCTCTAACATTGGGTATTGAAAATAGGTCAGGGGCCAGCGCCGTATCTCACTAGGCTAATCCTCCACCTGCGGCGCCGGCACCCTGGGTTCTAGTCCTGGTTGGGGCGCTGGATTCTGTCCCAGTTGCTCCTCTTCCAGTCCAGCTCTCTGCTGTGGCCCGGGAGTGCAGTGGAGGATGGCCCAAGTGCTTGGGCCCTGCACCTGCATGGGAGACCAGGAGGAAGCACCTGGCTCCTGGCTTCGGATCAGCGCGGTTCTGGCTGTGGCGGTCATTTGAGGGGTTGAGCCAACGGAAGGAAGGCCTTTCTCTCTGTCTCTCTCTCTCACTGTCTAACTCTGCCTGTCAATTTAAAAAAAAAGAAAAATAGGTCAGCGTTTGCCTTGCCAGAAAAATGGTGGAAAAGTGCTTTCAGGAGTGGCATGGATAAAAAGCATGGAGTATTTTGGAATGAAGTCCAGTTGTGGGTGGTGTTTACAGCCCTGCAGGTGGACTCGTTAGAGATAAGTTTGATAAGAATATGTTCACCTTGTCACTATTCACACTTAGGCTAAATTGGGGTGGTGCTTGCGCATTGCGCGATATTCAGCAGCATCCTGGCCTCTAACACATAAGTTAGCCACCCCCTTGCTGTTCTGACAAGCAGAGGTATCTCCGGAGTCCCCAGATGCCCATGCAGGGGAGAAGGACAAGATCTCTCCTAGTTTTCAACAGTTTGTTTAAAGATGCATGTGGACTGTATTTTGAAGGGCTTTGAATGCCAAATTAAGCCATACATCAGGGCATTTCTTTCTTTCTTTTTTTAAGATTTATTTATTTGAGAGACAGAGTTACAGACAGACAGAGGGAGAGACAGAGAGAGAGGTCTTCCACCTGTTGGCTCAGTCCCCAGATGGCTGCAGTGGCTGGAGCTGGACTGATCTGGAGCCAGGAGCTTCTTTTGGAACTCTCACAGAGCTACAGGGGCCCAAGCACTTGGGCCATGCTCCACTGCCTTCCCAGGCGCATTAGCAGGGAGCTGGATCAGAAGTAGAGCAGCCAGGGCTCAAACTGGCACCCATGTGGGATGCTGGCACTGTAGATGGCAGCTTAACCTGCTGTGTCAGCTCTGGCCCCGAATATTTTTACATTTTTATTAATATGTAATAATTACGGGGTAAAGTGTGATTATTTCAAGACATTTATATGGCATATAGTATATATGCATTTTAATATATAAATATACATATATATTTTATATATGTAAAATATATATTGCATTTTAAAATTAAGACAGTGAACTTTGAGAAGTGTGCTTTGTCATCTCTGGAGTGGATAAGTGGGAATATTGATTTATATTACATACAAAATAGTCCCAGCTGATCACATGACGACAGATAAGTAACTGCCTGGTGTATGAGCCGTTTGGCAAGACCCTTACTGTTGCGAATCTTACTTTCAGGTGTGCTGATTCTGTTCCTTACCTTTTTTGCGTTTTTGCACTGCTGGCTCAACGCCTTTGCTGAGATGCTACGCTTTGGTGACAGGATGTTTTATAAGGTAGTATACACTTGAACTCACCTTCCTTGTTGCTTTCATTTATTTATTTACTCATTGGGAAGCATTTAAACATTGTTGGCTTATATTACATGCTTTTTGTAATTTTCTTTTCCATTAAGTCCGAAATTCTGAAATTGAGATTATTGTCATAGTCTCATATTTTCTTTTACCTCGTCTGGTTTCTGCTGGATCCTGTGAGCACATATTGCTGATTTCAGAGGGGTGGCGTTTGTCTCGGGGGTATTAGGAGACTTTGCTTGTACTGGTTGTTCATTTGAGATTGGCTGTCCAGTTCTATGTGAATGACCTCATAAGTTATCTCACAACTACTGAGACGCTCATGAGAGAAATAACTTCACTGCTTTGTTTTGAAAGGTATTTAATTCTGCTGAAAATACTATTCTATGCTTCTGAAGTTGAGGTTAAACTCTAGACTTGAACAGATGGTTCGTAGTGTTCTATAATACTACCTCAAGCTCTCTGGAGTTTTATTTGTTGTTTTGGCAACATGTCAAGTGTTTCATGCCTTTCTCAAAGAAACAGTAGGTACAGGTTGCAGATTGTAGACATCTGATTCTACTAGTTTAATCTTAAAATTGGTAACAAGAAATATTTAAAGGGACATTAGGACTTTGGGGTAGCCACCATCTCATTCCTTGTATAGCTTGAATGTTGCCATTAACGATGGCACCAAGCGGCGACTTGGTGATGGCAATTCGTCCAGCCTTTGTGACCTTAAAAAACTCTTTAATTGGGGCCTGCATTGTGGCATAGCGGATAAAGCCACCACCCGCACTGCCGGCATCCCATATGGGCGCCAGTTTGAGTCCCGGCTGCTCCTCTTCTGATCCAGCTCTCTGCTATGGCCTGGGAAAGCAGTGGAAGATGGCCCAAGTGCTTGGGCCCCTGCACCCATGTGGGAGACCCGGAAGAAGCTTCTGGCTCCTGGCTTTGGATTGGCATAGCTCTAGCCGTTGAGGCCAATTGGGGAGTAAACCATTGAATGGAAGACACCCCCCACCCCCGCCGCCGCCGCATCCACTCCTCTCTGTGTGTAACTCTTTCAAATAAATAAATAAGTAAATCTTTAAAAAAAAAAAAACAAAACAATAGAAACTCTTTCATCGTGTAGTAGCAGTGTAAAGGGTGGAGGGTCACTGATGACTGTTTAGACAAACATTAGATTTAAATGATTCTGTATGTTCTGTTTTCTGTAATGACTTGTTTCATCAAAAGACAAAATAAACCAAGCACTTAAACATGTATCACTAGAATAATGTATTGAACTGTAAAAAAAACCAGAGTGCCTTTTTTAAAACAATGGGTTTATTTATTTGAAAGTCAGAGAAGGAAAACCGGAGAGACATCTTCTGTCTGCTGGTTCAATCCTTGAATGACCACAATGGTTTGGACTGGGCCAGGCCAAAGCCAGGAGCCTGGAACTCCAGCCAGGTCTTCTACCTGGGTGTCAGGGGTCTGAGTACTTGGGCCCTCTTCTGCTGTTTTCCCATGTGTGTTAGCAGGGAGCTGGATCAGAGGTGGAGCAGCTGGGACCTGAACTGGCTTGTATGGGATGCCAGCACTGCTGGTGACTGCTTAGTCTGCTGCTCCACGAAGCCAGCCCCCATGATGCCTTTTAAGATTGTTTTGACATTAGTGTGTGAACTAACTGTTCACAGTACATTCTGGGTTGTATGTTCCATGTGCATGTTCTTTGGGAATATTCAGGCATTTTGCTTTGGGTCTTTGTGTACATGTGTTTGTATGCATGTCATTTTATACCTTTACTTTTATCCTCAGGACTGGTGGAACTCCACATCATATGCTAACTATTATAGGACCTGGAACGTGGTGGTCCATGACTGGCTGTATTACTATGCCTACAAGGACTTGCTCTGGGTAAGCAGCAGGATTTAGTTGATGTTATTTAAGAAATAGAGATTGTTTTCCTGAAAGGGTGAATATTGTACAGTTGGAAGGTTTTACTTAATTGCTCGTGAAGAAAAGGTGATATGTCTTGTCTTCAGTTCTCTTAGGAGACAGTTAGATCTAAGAACCCTTCTGGTTCCAGTAGAGTATTGCTTAGAAGCCAGTAAGGACGCCAGCACTGTGATGTAGCAGGTAAAGCCGACACTGGCAGTGCCAGCATCCCATATGAACGCCGGTTCAAGTCCTCACTGCTCCACTTCTGATCCAGCTCTCTGCTGCAGTCATTGCAGCCATCTGGGGAGTGAAGCAGAGGATGGAGGACCTCTCTCTCTCTGCCTCTGCCTCTCTGTAACTCTGTCTTTCAAATAAATAAATAAATTAAAAAAAAGAAAAAAAAAGAAACCAGTAGGTAGGTACATGGTTGAATACTGTGTTTTTGGTCTGGATTTTCTTTTACCTAATTACCAAGTAAGAATACATGGAGGCCTTGGAATGATCCACCAATGATGGGCCATTTCTCTTGGATCTCATTGCCAACATATAATCCCCTATAGCCTTTTTTTCCATTTGTTTTATTTTCCTTGTTAAACGAACAGAAATATTTGTGGATTTACATGTCTCCAATCAGTGACTCATGTCTGAAATACTTTAAAAAGTGGAATGTATTTAGACTGATGAGATGTAGCCTTTAAAATTTTTCTTTTATTTGGGAGAGGAAGAAAGAAAGGAGGGAGAGAGAAAGAGAGAGAGAGAGAAGAGGGAGAGAAAGGGAGGGAAATGGCCCATTTGCTGGTTCATTCTCAAATGCCCACGGCAGCCAAGGTGGTGGCAGGAAGCCAGTTACTTAAGTCACTGCTGTTGCCTCCCTAGGTCTGTGTTAGTGGGAAGCTGGAGGCAGAGCTGGGTATTGAACTCAGTAACTCTGGTGTGGGCCACGAGCAGCTGAACCAGCGTGTTCACCGCTGGGCTGAACGCCGAGCCTGTGAAATACAGCCTTGAATCCCCTGGCCCACACTAGTGTTAGTGTCTTCATCGCTCAGTAAGGGCGTCACTAGGCTGAGTGTCAGCATCTTGTGGAAACAGTGTATTTGAGTACTGGTTCTGTCATTTATAAAGGTAGTTTCGTGTCCAGATAAGGCGAGCCCCTCCTTCTAAGTCTTAGTTTTAGAGAGGACACCTTACAGAGTCACTCTAAAGATTAAAATTCTGGGGTTGGCACTGTGGCGTAGCAGGTAAAGCCACTGCCTGCAGTGCCAGCATCCCACATGGGCGCCAGTTCAAGTCCCGGCTGCTCCACTTCCGATTGAGCTCTCTGCTATAGCCTGGGAAAGCAGTGGAAAATGGCCCAAGTGCTTGGGCCCCTGCACCTGTGTGGGAGACTAGGAAAAAGCTCCTGTCTCCTGACTTCAGATCGGCACAGCTCAGCCTTTGTGGCCATTTGGGGAGTGAACCAGAAGGTGGAAGATTCTCTCACTGTCTCTTCCTCTTCCTCTCTCTGTGTAACTCTGCCTTTCAAATAAATAAATGAATCTTATTTTTAAAAAGGGTTAAAATTCTGTGTTGTTGCCGGCGCTGCAGCTTTCTAGGCTAATCCTCCGCCTGAGGCGCCGGCACACCGGGTTCTAGTCCCGGTTGGGGTGCTGGAGTCTGTCCCAGTTGCTCCTCTTCCAGTCCAGCTCTCTGCTGTGGCCAGGGAGTGCAGTGGAGGATGGCCCAAGTGCTTGGGCTCTGCACCTGCATGGGAGACCAGAAGAAGCACCTGGCTTTTGGCTTTGGATCGGTGCAGCACGCCGGCCGTAGCAGCCATCTGGGGGTTGAGCCAACGGAAGGAAGGCCTTTCTCTCTGTCTCTTTCTCTCTAACTCTGCCTGTCAAAAAAAAAAAAAAAAAAAATTCTGTGTTGTGTTTTTATTTGAAAACTATGTTTTGTCAACTATAGTAATTATAAGCTATCAATGTGTGTGGAAATATGCTAAAATTTTTGAAGAATGATGTTTTATAAACTTAATATAAGAGTTTATGAGCATATGTATTTTTTGTAAATATTTTAATAGATTTGGGTCAGTCTATGGAATAGACTAGAAAAGTCAAACATATATAATCGATGTCTTCAGCATATGATAATTATGTTTGTAGTTTATGCTCCATTACTTACACTTTTTAAAATTAACTTTTTACTATTTTCCATTTGCCTCAGTTTTTCTCTAAGAGGTTCAAGTCTGCTGCCATGTTGGCGGTCTTTGCCATGTCTGCCGTCGTGCACGAGTATGCCTTGGCTGTTTGTTTGAGCTATTTCTATCCAGTACTCTTCGTGCTCTTCATGTTCTTTGGAAGTAAGTATCGTGGCATGCTGTGAGTACTGGGTAGTCTGCTACAAGAGAAAATGAGACAGAAAAGGAACTAGGAAGTCGGTGTAGGCAGCTGAGATAGTAGGAAGGCCGTGTCACAGCGCTGTTTGTCCGGAGGTCGGGATACTGACTGAGTAGTTACACAACACTGTCCCAGGGTGTTCGCTTACGCTTGGACATAAGGAAGCGAACCAGGTAATCTTTTGAATCTCAGTGACAACACTGATTTGTACAGCATGGAACCTGTCTGTCAACAGCTGCCCCATTCATAAGCACTGTCATGGTACACCCTGAGAACCCTGGGAAAACTGGCCATGTCACTAAAGTATGAATAATTCCATGGAATACATTTCCGCTGATTCTCAGTACTGTTGATTTTCTATTATTGATTAATAGCTTTCAACAGTGAAGCTGCGTTTTTATTTGTAAGACCAGAGACCAGATTAAAACGTGTACATGAACAATTGATGCTGTGATTGTTAAAGGCAGTCGTAAAATTATTTTATTTGAAAACATAAAAAAGATGAGCGTAGTGCTGAGACCCCTCGTCTCCTGATGTTTTGATAACTACACACATACATATGTGCATATTTTTGTTCTCTTCCTAACTTTAGTGGCTTTCAACTTCATTGTCAATGATAGTCGGAAAAGGCCAATTTGGAACATTCTGGTGTGGGCTTCCCTTTTCCTGGGCCACGGGGTCATCCTGTGCCTTTATTCTCAGGAGTGGTATGCACGCCAGCACTGCCCTCTGAAAAACGTGAGTAACGGTAGTTGAGGTTAGGATGGATGAATGCGAGAGGGAGGGAAATAGTTTATTAGCCAACCCTGCTGTGCGCTTCTGTCCTAAAATCCCTCCTCTGATTTTCTCTCCATTGCACTCTCCTCGTTTCTAGTTGCCTTTCTTTTTCCACTGCTCTTTCTTCAGCCTTTTCTGGTTCTCTCCGGCGTTTTCCCTTTGCCGTGTGTGTCCCTGCCACCACCACCCACACATACATTTTGACGCTTTACTTCTCTCTTCCCAAAGTAGTGAACTCCTGTAAAACCGTCAGATAATGCTGGCGTGCCTAGGACTTCACTGCCGCGATGCTTGGTTTTTCATAATCGTGTGCAGGTTTCACTTACTCTTGAGGCTTTGGTTATTAACTGTATCAGTAACTCCCCAGGTATTTTTGGGGAGGAGGGGAGATTTACCTCCTTGATCAGTCTGTCTAGATCTTTCTCATAGACTCCTCTAACGCTCAGATTAGCTACCTCCCCCAGCTGTGCCGCTCTAACTACCCCCCCCCTCCACCCCAACCCCCGCCCTGTTAATCCCCTCTGTGCTCTGGACTCAGCTCTGTCCTGCTCATGCGCTCTTCATACTCAGATTCCACACATCGGATTTTATTCTCTTATCAAAATCCAGTTTGGATGTATATTTTCCATGGAACTTTTTCAAGTTCTTACTCTTGTGCCCTTACTGTTTCTGAACCTTAATAGTATTTCATCTATTCCTCCTTAAAGTAGTTTGGTCACTTTAAATCTGTGTTACAGACATTTGTGTGTGTGTGTGTGTGTGTGTGTGCATACACCATCCTTGTCCTGCCCCTATTTAGATGTTAGGCTACTGAATGTTGGGTTGTGCTAAAATAAAAAGGCAGGATGACCAGAAGGAATGATCCCTATTTAGAACTGGTCAGAAGTCCGTGCAGTTGTGTGGAGTTTACTGGACTTAAAACTTCACGTGAAGCTTCTAAATTGAAGAACTGTGCGTTCTAGATGAAAGAACTGAACTTGCTTTGGATTAGTGAGCTTCTTACAAAGTTTGATGAAACGCCGGGAGGCATTTTAAAGTTAGACCATTAACACTCCCTACCTGCCTCCACATCTTACACACTGAGTACACATATAAGTTACTCTCCCGTTCTTTTTCCCATTGTAGCCCACATTTCTGGATTACGTCCGACCACGTTCTTGGACTTGTCGCTATGTGTTTTAGGAGCTTGGATGGTGTTCCTTCCTTGTCACTGAAGATTGAACATTCTGCCTGGTGTGGGGCCCTGTCTCCACCGCTACTGAAGTTCTCTGTGTTACTTGGATCACGCCAGGCTTCAGTGGTTCACCGGAGTAGGTCACTGGAAGCTGAGCTGTTCAGAATTCCTTGGAATCTTGCATACCTAAGCAGGAATTTTTTTTATTTTTTCCTTTTTGGTAGAAGGGAGACTGAAAGCTGGGGTAATGACAGATTTTTTTCTGGGTCATATCAGCTTAAGCCTCAGTAATTGCAATTGTTTTGTTTCTTGAGTCCATCCAATCAGAGACTAAAATCAGATTTTCTCAGCCACAGAATTATCCAAAGCACTTACGAAAAAATCATTTAAGTATTTCTGGCTTAGAATTTCTTTCATATATACTGTTGAAGGAATGTTAATTAAAAATGCAAAGAATATAATGTAGAATGATTTTTTGCTATTTCTAGTAGAAAGACAAAAAAATCTATTTTCCAAAGGTAATCTTGTTATATATTACCTTTTATATTTTGTTTGGAAAAAAGTTCAGTTCTACTCAAGTTTTACATTCTTCATACCAGCTAGGTCATGATTTTTGTGCAGGAAAAAGATGTCTTCCACTATAAATTCTTGCATCAATAATAATAATAATAATACATATTTAGAGGACCAGAAGTTGGAAGGGAAAAACAAAAAATATTCTCAGAGATTCCATAGTAGTTTTAAGGAAAGATTTGCAGATTCAATCATATTTTTAAATTATTTTGCTTATCATGAAATTTACATGGAAGATAGTTTTTTAACTTTAAGGAAATATGAGGGTACTTCAGAGAGCTAATAAAAAATGAAAGGTAAGTTTATTTTGGTGTAAAACAGAAATCCGTGCATATGAGAGGTCTTCCAAGACCGTTCATGGGAAATGTGTATTATTAAAGAACTGGGTGTAGATTTCAAAGTTTTTTGCACCAAAGTAAACTTAATTGGATTTTCCATGAACTTTTGGAAGTATTCTCAGCACCTCTTTGATGTTTTGAAGTATCCTTTGGTATAATTATTCTCTAATAAATACTTATCTTGAATTATTTTGCAGATTAGTGAGTCAGTCTGTGACCTAAGTATTAATTAGCTTCATTAACACTGAAGTGATCATTAAGGATCCAGAAGCTGGCTTCTGCATTTCTCAGTTCTCTCGTACTTTGAACGGTAGTATATTTTTAGGTGGAACAGATTAAAATGTGATGTGAGTTTCCGGGTGATATGTGCCCTTCTTCAGTAAGAAGTGGTGCGTAGGAATTACTTCGTATGTGATTATGTTAGATTGAGCATTAGGGACATCAGGGACCAAGTACTTCAACCTTCCACCCAAACAAGTGAGCCTTACGAGTTACTCAAATGATTGTTGGTACGTGGAGCAGCCACCTTGAGAGGTTCTCTCACAGTTCAGCCAGCCCTAGTGCTGTCCAAGATGTTTTGAGAAGTCGTTCTGAAGGAGTTGTTTTAAGGTCAGTTTGAGTCTCACAAAACGTAGAGTATGTTTCTAGTCGCAGCTTAAATTGGACCACGAGGCCCTTGCTTAGTCATCTGTTTGATCCACCATACCTCTGATCCAGTGGAGGTTAAGCGGTTTTCAGACGTGAGTTCCAGCCTTGAAGGACACAAGCGCACGTGTGTTTCCAGGCATTGATCTGCACAGTGGTGTTGTAATTGATAGCAGTGTTTTTGACATCACAAGAGAATGGTCTGCTCCAAGGTTAGGTTATGAACAAGGCAGTCTGTCGGAGCAGCAGAATGGAATGCTTAGGTCTGCATTTCTGTTAAGAAGTGTAAATGCACACTAGGAGAGACCTTTGTTGTTTGCTAGTCTCAACACTTGGTTTGTAGGCCTAGTCAAGGTTTTGTTTTAAATTTTTTTTTAATAAAAACTGTCATCTTTATATTGTTTATAAGTGATTTTTCTGCCCAGGATTTTCAGCAGTAACAGTGGACATGTATAAGCATTGTAGACTGTTCAGAATGCTAAGTGTGTCCTAAGAAACTTCCAAAAACACACAACATAAAGGAATGCCCACTTGGGTGAGAGACTGGTTTACAACCATGATCTTCATGCAGGCTGCTTTGAGCAAACGTCTGTTCTTTAGACTGCCACCTACACTATTTGTTTTAAATGAATACAAACTAGAACTTCTGTAATGTGTTCAGGAAGATTCTCTTACTTTCCCTACTCACTAACAGGGGTGAAAGGTACTTTTGATTACAGAATGATGGTGAGTAACGCTTTTCCTTCTGAAAAGAAATGAGTTTAGACTCTGTTTCCTATAAGACCTAATGATTGTGACCGTTCTGGGGGACATGTTATCCAAGAGAAAGCTGAGTAGTATGTACAGTATTTCCCTTTCTCAGTAGATTGCTAATTGGTCTCCCATGACCCTCGTGAGTAGGATTAAATTTGTTAAGATACTGTTATTCTCAATCCTGGATTAGGAAGTAAAACAGTTCTGTTTGTTGTTGAATTAATGTACCGCAGTTGCCTTGATAAGGTTGCTTGCCTCATTAGAATTTAACTTGAACATTGAGGCTGTGCTTAACACGTCAGTAACTCTTAACAGTTGGAAGCAAAAGGATTGAGGGAAGTGTTTTGTCCTTTTTCAGTATTTGCAAGGTAAAAATGGGCAGATTAACAAAGTACAGTGTATTAACAATCTGTTTTGGCAAGCATACATTATGTTGCACAATTCATGTCATGTTTTCAGTTTTCATTAATCGTAAGATGTTGCCTGAGAAATTGAATTTTGAAGTCTTTATAAGAAAACAGCATCATGTGTTTAAAATTGGCTCATTTGGTCTGCATTGCCTTTAAAAGATGTAATTTATTAGTTGTTGAGAGGCCTTTGGCACAAAGAGTGTCTTTGTTTTGTTTGGTTGTAAGTAATTGTGTGCACAGTTCATTTGATTTGTGTGCAGGAGGTGGTGGATGATAAAGGTAAACTAATGTGATTATAATCATGAGGTGGCCTGTTAGCAGTGTCAGAGTTTAAAGTTTTGATTTATAGTCATTTAAAAAAAATCATTGCACTTAAGCCAACTTGTGAAACAGATACAGTGTAGCTACTTCTGACCTGGAGAGGAACTGTGGGCCTGAGCTCTCGTTGGTACATCCTTTCCGTCCTGCCCCAGAACACCCTGTTGGGAAACCACAGTGGGTGGGTGGGGAAGAGCGTGGGCTCGTGGCTGGGAGAGCCTTGTGCATCCCAGCCCTGTGACCACGGCAGAGTCGCCCTGGGTGCCCGAGCCGAGTCTCCCTGGTCTGTGGAGGAAGGTGACAACTACCTCACGCGGTTGCTGCAAAGCAGTAGCCCTGGCAGAGCACGGCCTCCGTACTGTCTTCCCTTCATCTTCTGACACCCAGACCCTTCCTGCTGCCTTCAGAAAGTGTGTGTACTTGGACTGCAGATGCTGCACACTCCCAGGAGCACGCGCAGTGCTTTTCAGTAGACCGGGGTGAGGACGGGTGGCTCAGCATGACTCGGCATCGTGCAGGTGGGACAGGACACTGTCCCACATGCACCTCCTCCCTCGGGTCAGGCTTGCACCTTCCCCAGCTTCGCTGACGCTTCTTCTGCTTTCACGCTAGAGCAGGCGGCAGTCTTCTCAGAAGAGATGGCGTTGCTGCTGTCACCAAGGTGTCAGCTGGTTAAGGACTGGTGGGTGCACCCTACAGTCAGGTTTAGAGGCTGGGCAGAGGATGGAGGCGGACGAGGCCTGAGCTCTGACAGCTGAGTCTTGGAACACACTTTCTGCACAGAAGATGGCGTGACTCATGTCATCTACGTGCAACACGCGCACACGCTGACAAAGATGTGTCCCGGTGGTACGTCATGTGTCTTATCTCTAGGTTTCACGTTCACGACTCCAGAATGGATGACTGACAGGGATTTGATTAGCTGTTCACATCAGCCAAGCTTGTGTCGGGTAGTAGTGTTGGAACCCTTCTGTGACAGAATACCACAGAGGCCTGGTCTCTGGAGCAGGTTAACGCGTGGCTGGCCCGGTGGAGACGGGGTGGGGCCTTTCCTGCCCCCCCCCACCCGCCCCGAACGCAATCCAGGTGACAGTGGCGGACACAACCTGCAGATGCTTGCACTTCGTAGGATAGTTGGGTCATCTGTGTCCTTCCTCCAGTGACATGCTTTCTGATAGCTAATGTGGGCTTGAGAGGGAGTCCGAGTCAACCTCGGAAGTGGAATGGTTTCTGGAGGATCCAAGGCTGCCTCTGCCCGCCTCCGATGCGGCTCCCTCCTCCCGCGTTACTCCGTCCACACTGTGCGGTCCGGCACACTGCTGGCTCCCTTCCCCGTGACCGTGTGTGTGGATGAAGGGGTGGCTGCAGTCGGTTTCAGAGACCCGTGAGACAGGCCGTTCCCGCCCCACCCCATCGTGTAGAAACACACTTTGCAGTCCCCTGTGCTAAGGTGCCAATCCGCTTTCCCAAGGAAAGAGTGGAGCCCCGGCGGAGGCTCCGCCTGTGGGCAGGACCGCAGTTCTGCCTGTCCTCCATTTTGCACATTCATGCATGGCGTCCGGGAGCAGCCGAGGTCATGTCAGCCTGAGGTGGCTTCTACAAGGTGTTTCTGTAACGATATCGTAGGTGACTCATTCTCACTTCTGGTTTCCCTGTTTCCCCTGCCCCTGGAAATCACTGGTACTATGACTCTGTGTCGTATGCATTGTATTAGCATTCATTTTAAACTTAAAATGGAAAAATATTGCATATGTGAATATGGCAAATAAATATATTTGGAAAAAACATAATGTCTTTTTTTTTTTAATGTATTTGTTTGAAAGACAAAGGGTGGGGGTGGAGATAGCAAGTGAGTGAACGCCAGCTTCCATCTACTGGTTCACTCCCCAGATGGCCACAACGGCCAGAGCTAGGCCAGGCCAAAGCCAGTGGATTTTTCCAGGTCTCCCACGTGAGCAGCAGGGACCCACACGCTGGGGCCATCTTCCGCTGCTTTTCCCAGACTGTTAGGGAGCTGCGTCAGAAATGGAGCATCAGGATAGAAAGTGGCATCCATGTGGGATGGTGGCACCACGGGTGGCGGCTTTACCTGCTCTGCCACAGCACTGGCTCCTGATGTCTGTTTTTAAAGTATGTTTTCGGGGGGAGGGGCGGTGCTGTGGTGTAGTAGATAAAGCCACCACCTGCAGTGCCAGCATCCCATATGGGTGCTGGTTCAAGACCTGGCTGCCCCACTTGCAGTCCAGCTCTCTGCTGTGGCCTGGGAAAGCAGTGGAAGATGGCCCAAGGCCTTGGGCCCTGCACCCATGTGTGAGACCCAGAGGAAGCTCCTGGCTTTGGATCAGCATAGCTCCAGCCGTTGCAGCCAATTGGGGAGTGAACCAGCGGATGGAAGACCTCTCTCTGCCTCTCCTTCTCTCTGTGTAACTGACTTTCAAAAAAATAAATATTTAAATCAAAATAAAAGGATGTTCGGGGGCAGTGGACACAGCAGTGGGGGTGCCCGTGCACCATATCAGAGTACTGGGCTGGAGCCCTGGCTCAGCCTCCGAGCCACCTTCCTAAGGTGCAGCCTGGGAGGCAGCTCCCTGACGCTCACGGGAGACCCTGATTGAGTTCCTGCCTTCTGGCATCTGGGGAGAGCACCAGTGGACGGGAGGCCTCTGTCTCACAAGATAAAGTATCTTAAGTAGATGCAGAACCACTTTTCATCTTAATCTCCATCAGCTTTAGATGCTGAAAGTATCCCGGAGGAGGCAGGTAACAGGGCCATTCTCCTCCCAGCAATGGAACAAATGACAAAGAACTGGAGAGCGGCCCTGTTGTAGGCTTACATTACATTAAAACAACAAGAGCAGTGACCCTAGCTGACTTGAGCGGGCTTCTCCCTGCCGTGGGCCTGGTTACTTGATCCTTTTACTTGCTTGTAAAACCCCTGTATTTCTAAGAAGGCCCTGCCTGCAACAGCTAGAAATGGACTTTAGGGTTCCATTGAAAAGGTGACGATCGTTGGCGTGGATGCATGCCCTTTAAGACCAGGGCAAACCAGTTTTGAGCAAGATAATGATGCCTCCCCTTAGGCTTGAGGGAGTCCTCAAATTCAGCTGTTGCCCCTGTGGTCACCTTGGTCACCTTGTCCTGCCGCTTTGGCTCTTGTGCTTCCTCCTTCGGCCACCAGAGGGCACAGCTGAGCACGCCTTGATCTCCCACTCCCCGATCTGAACAACTGTGGGACATAAATGGGCTCTTTATCAATGACGCAGTCTCAGGCATTCATCAAAGCAGCACCCGTGGACTAGGAAGCCCTCCTGCCAACAGTCGCAGAGTGGGGACCATCGTGATCAGTACGTGACGTTGTTAGGACTTTGCTTCTGCAGAAGCTCGGATCGTAGCAGCAGCCAAGTCTAGTTCTGGATGGCCCAGCCCTCCCCAGCAGCCCCTGCAGTGCCAGAGGGGCAGGCAAAGGGAAAGTCCTTCTGGAAATCAGCTGTGTCCTGTTTCCTGGACCCAGTGACTCCCTGCCACCGGGAGCAAAGCCACAGCGTGGCAACTGACCTTGCAGGCTCAGATGGCTTGCACACGTGTGGACCCCAGCTCACCAGGCTCATGCGTCTTCTTGGGAAAATGTGTGTGCCTGTCTGTGGATTCACTGTGAGAAGGCTGACATGACCCCTGAGTTTGCTCTCTGTAGAAACCCCACTTTGTTTCTTTTTTTCTTTGAGAGCTTATTTTATCCTCGACATGCAGAGTGGACAGTGAGAGAGAGAGCGACAGAGAGAAAGGTCTTCCTTTGCCGTTGGTTCACCCTCCAATGGCTGCGGCGCTCCAGCCACGTGGCTGGCCTATGCACACACATCAATCTAGGCATCATTTCCGTTTCAGGGATACCCTCCTTGTGTGGAGGCAGTTCTAGAAGTTACTCTTCCCCTTGGGAAGTGTTTGGCCAAGCAGTGCCTAGATGTCTGTCTCCTTTTAAAAGAAGTTTCTGATACCTCTGCTTTAAAGATACGTTAGATACAAACGCTGGCCTCCTTCCCACTCTGACTCCAGGGAACTCTGCGTGCTGTTTGTGAGTGCCTGCAGACACGCATATAAATTCCTGCCCACATGTTGAGAAAATGGGTTGGTAAAAGAGCTGTGATGCAAAAGCACACCCAACCCCCCACCCCCCAGCTGAGGGTATGTTTGGTGACCACGCTGGCTAATGAGGTATTTTCTCCGAAGAAGGGCCTACTGCTACCTAGTGTTAAGCTGGGACAAAAGTCACGAACACCGATAGGTATAATTGGCCCTGCTAATGACTAACCATGGGGCCGGCGCTGTGGCATAGTGGGTAAATCTGCTGCCTGCAGTGCTGGTACCCATGTGGGCGCTGGTTCAAGTCCTGGCTGCTCCGCTTCCGATCCAGCTCTCTGCTGTGGCCTGGGAAAGCAGTGGAAGATGGCCCAAGTTCCTGGGCCCCTGCACCCACATGGGAGACCTGGAAGAAGCTCCTGGCTCCTGGCTTCGGATAAGCTCAGTTCTGGCCTTTGCGGCCATCAGGGGAGTGAACCAGCAGATGGAGGAGCGCTCTCTCTCTCTCTCTCTCTCTCTCTCTCTCTCTCTCTCTGCCTCTCCTTCTCTCTCTGTGTAACTCTTTCAAATAAAAAAAAAAAATGACTAACCATTACTTTGCCTGTCTTGGTGCACTCTAGGAAAACTCTTAGCTGGTCATCTTACATTTTGCTATGGCATTTTCCGTCAATGAAAGATATTTTACCTTATGCCATTTTAGGGTTTCCTTAGTGCAATTCAGAATTATTCCCCAGGAGTAGCAACTGTATTCTTCAACAGTTTGTCTTGTCATATTTCTTGTTGATGTTCTCATCTATTTAACTTTAGCCCTATCACTAAGGGCTTCAGAGCCACATACACGAAAAAGTTGACGGAAGTGTATAATGAAACACCATGCGTGGATTTAAAAAAAACAAACTGGAGCCGGCGCCGTGGCTCAATAGGCTAATCCTCCACCTTGCGGCGCCGGCACACCGGGTTCGAGTCCCGGTTGGGGCGCCGGATTCTGTCCCGGTTGCCCCTCTTCCAGGCCAGCTCTCTGCTATGGCCAGGGAGTGCAGTGGAGGATGGCCCAGGTGCTTGGGCCCTGCACCCCATGGGAGACCAGGAAAAGCACCTGGCTCCTGGCTCCTGCCAGGATCAGCGCGGTGCGCCGGCTGCAGCGGCGGCCATTGGAGGGTGCACCAACGGCAAAAAGGAAGACCTTTCTCTCTCTGTCTCTCTCTCTCACTGTCCACTCTGCCTGTCAAAAAAAAAAAAAACAAAAAATAAAAACTAAGAAAAATTTCGAACTGCGACCAAGATAGGCTTTTAAATTTGCCACAGACTTTTTTGACGGACTTTCAAGTAGAATCGAGGGAGTTACCTCCCCATATAACAGATGTCATATATCTGTTGTATATGTTACTACTTTTAAGCAGGGCAGAGTCAAAAGGAGAGAGACGAAAGGG